TCGATTACACAAGGATGCTAATTACAATGAACTTGTATAAAGAATTTCCTAAGGATACATAAACCACAAATGGGAACAAAAGAACATAATTTCCTTATTTTTCTTCCTTCCTTCTTTATGACTATTGACCTGATTTCAATCTCATGGAACACATGCATTGACCAAATCAACAACACCAATTACCAGCTAGGAGAGAAGAGATAAAATGAAGGATTTTCCCTCTTAAAAATGATTTGTACCCATCTACTTAAACTTTCTCAATATATCTCTTTAAGTTTTATCCATAATAATAATAATAATAAAACAACATGAATTTGAGGCTAGATGGATTTAGATTAATTACAGCATTTATGTCAAGTGTTGAGGTCATGGGCAGCACTTACGCCGGCTATTGAAAAATTTGCACCAAAACAGGAAATAACGTGGAACATATATATTTGGGCTTTTACTTACTGATAACTACTAGTAGGTAGTTCGGTCGGTCTTTTGTCTTTAGCCCCTAAAAAATGATTGAATTAACAATTCCTTCTTAGTCTTTGTTTATATATGTTGAGCCTTTTTATTTTGATGATGTTATTACTATATTTTAAATAATTAATTTAATATATTTTTAATAAAATTATTTATTATATTTTTAGATTATAGATTTTTTTAAAAATTAAAAATATATAATGATTCATTAAAATAAAAAATATAATCTTAATAATTAAAGATTTAATAGTAACATCATCCCTTTTATTTTTTAAAATTCCCAACAGTCTAGATAGAAACTTGTTGAATGTTTCGAATATTTCAACTTATGAACATATTTATTTAAACTCCAAGATTCGTTTCACATTAGCTAATATAAAGAGGATCAACTAATTAATTAAAAAAATTAAAAGTAAATGCATTGAATGAATAATCTAATTAAAACCTGCTAATTTGGCGTTATAGGGCACGTGCACGACTGGGTCTGGGTGACCAGGTTTCATGATCATATACGACCAATATTTCTGAGATTCATATTAAAATTTATCCTTGTTATTATCTAGATCAATGTCTGGCTTAATTAATTAATTGCTAACCCCAGAAATTTGGAATATACATTTATTTATTTTACCCAGAAAATTAAATCAAATCTACGGCCATTCAAATTTAGCATCTATAGGTATAGCTTCCTTTTTACATGCGTGGAGAATAAAAGAACATAAATCTCGGCGGCTAAAGTCGGTCAATTGGGTAAGCGATTATGTGCGGACGCCTATTGGTCTAATTCTATTTTGAGTAATGATAGAGATGATAAAAATTAGGGATAAAAATTTAGAATGAATAATGAGGCATGAGTTATATTATTAATTGAGGTGATATATATAATATTATAAATTTTAATAAAATAAAAATTATCAATCATTAAATAATATAATATTTACATTTAATATTTTAAATAATCATAACTTATTTTATAT